TTTGTGGTGTCGGACGATGGAGTGGAGTGCGTAGTGCTAGGTGTTGGCATGCGGGGGGTGGGGTTGCGGATTGGGCGTGAGGGTTATCGGTGAGGTTTGGGCGCCGGGTGGTTGCGGGTGGTGGGTGAGTGTGCTGAGTTTGGGCGCGGTCGTTCTGGGGGGTGCGTGGGTTCGTGGTTGCGGTGGGCTAGGGTGTAGGGGGGGGGTGTGTCGGCGGTGGGGTGCGCGGTGGTGAGTTTGGCGATGGGGTGGGGGGTGTGTTTAGGAGGGTATGTTGCGTTGCCAGACTTGCGCTTGCGTGGGCAATCCTGCGTGGGTGAGTGCCTTGCGATGGTCCGGGGGGGGGATTGGGTGGAGGTTGGCTGATGAGTGTGGGGGGCGGTGGGGGTTGGAGTTGTGTGCGTGGGGGTGTGGTATTCCTATTTGGGTGGTGCGTGTGTTGGGGTGCTCGGCTGTAGAGGGGGGGGAGGTTGTGGTGGGTGGCCGTTGCGGCGCGTGGTCTCGTGCGGGGTGTCGGGGGGGGGGTGGGTTGCCCAGGCGTTGCGTCGGATCTCGTGGGCCAGGGGGGGTGTACCGCAGAAGAGGGGTTCGGGCGGGTCTTGGGTGGGTGGGGGTGGGAGGCGGCTCCAGGGGGGGTGGTATTGGGTGTGTTTGTTGGGTGGGTGCTGGGGTCGTTGCGGGGGGGCGGTGATTTGGGTGGGGCTAGGGCGCTGGATTGGGGTGGGGTTGGGCAGCGTTGAGGGGAGTTTGCACGGGGGTTGGGAGGCATTGGGGTGTGGGCTTGGGATTTGTTAGGCAGGTAGGTGGCTTTTGCGGCGGGTGGGCTTGGGGTAGTGGGGGGTGTGGTTTGCGGTGTTGGGCTGGGGGTGTCGCGTTGTGGGGGGTGGGGGAGAGTGTTGCTGCTTGTGGGGGGTGGGCGCGTGAGAGGTTTGGGGGGGGTGGGGCCGTGTGGGGAGGGCTGGGTGTGGGGGCCTGTTCGGTGTTGGGTGTGGGGGGGAGGGGGGGGTTTGGGGGTGGTGGGGGTTGTTGGGGGGGGGTGCGGGGTTTTGGGTGGTTGGGGGGGTGGGGGCTTTTGGGGGTTTGGGGTTTTGGGGGTGGTGGTGGTGGGTGTTTTGGGGTGTGTGGGCGGATTGGGGGTGTGGGCGTGGGGGGGGGTGTGCAACAATCTTTGCAGCAGAAAGTTAGGATTGTTTTTCGTAAAAGAATTTTCTTTCTTCTTCTGCGTCAGATAGTTTTGAATAACCTCTTGCACACTAGAAAAGGTTTTTCAATGGTTACCAAATAACGAAGAGTTTTACTTCATCTCTCAATTTTGATAATTGTTGTCTCGTACTAAAGGAATTCTTTATGTTGTCATTTTTCGTCAAAGAAAATAGAAATAGCAACTTCCAATCACGTGAATTTGCTTTCGGAGGTCAATGACCTGAAAGTATACCCTTCTTTTCTTCTCAAATTTGAAGTTTAAAAGTTAGATAAGAAATCCCCCGCCTCTTCGCGTTGACGCAAAACTTTATTGGCTTTGATTTCTGGCCACTTATCTATTAAAAATTAGTGTGCATAAATTATTAAATAAAATATTACAGTTAAATAATTTCAAAGTCCTTATTGAACTAATATTAAAAAATAAAACTTAAGAAACTTTTTTGTACCCTAAAATTTGGATTTGATATTACTTTTCTTGATGTACGCAGACTTTATTGACTAACTGTATATATATCCTGTCATTAAAGATATATATAAAACTGGATAAATACTGGAAAAACAGATGCCTACGAAAAAATCATATTCACGCCCCGATGTATACGCACCATGACATATACGAGACATGCATATAGATCTAACTATTATTTAAACATCTACATACTAATAAATATGATAAATGTTGGAACAGCACATACATATGAAAAATAAACCTATATATTCTAGTAAATGTGAAAAATATTGGAAAAGCAGGTACATACGAAACATCATATACACTGCGAGGGGAAAAAAAAAAGGAAAAAAAAAAAAAAAAAAAGAAAGGATAGTTCCTATATCTCCCGTTCTACTAGGCCGATTGACGAAATTCAGCTTGAGTTTTCATGTCTCGAAAGCGCGGCTTAGGATATGTATTAGATTTATATATAGCATTGTTCTAATATAGTTATTTTGACAGAAAATCGAACTTTATCTGAAAAGACATGCAATTTGTTTTTCCATATTTCGATTCTACGTCTCGAATTATGCCTAAGTGTCAAATTTTGTAAAATTTGGTGAGAAGTTTACGGAGAAATTCAGAAATTTATCTTGACGCATTTTTTTCCGATCAAAAAGATCCTCCATCTTCCGGCAAAAATTGTAACGAAATTTAGAAATTAAGTTAATAGAATTTTAAAAGCGTTAGGAGGTGCAGGATTGGACTTTAAAGTCATTAACTAAACAACATAAATCTTTCTGAATGTATAAAGCTTCAAGAAAATACTAAATGATTTAGCGGTGAAAGACTTGCTAACATCAGTAATATTGGGGTTGATTTCCTTACGCGCAGCTAGCGCGAATCTTCTAGAATTCTACGTTGCAGGTACACATGGGCCTTCTTCCATGCCTTCTTGAGAAAGCCGTTTGGTTTAAGCGGAGCGCCGGCTACATTTAAAAAATTTTAAAATGCCATGGATATAGTTTTAAGGCCAGTTTTGTGTAAAAGTACAATAATTTAAGCTGGGTGACACAATAATCACCAGCGAAATGATAGACGAACACATTAAACATTTGGAGAAAGTTTTTGCCTTGCTTAAGGAGGCCGGCTTCAAAATAAACCTGAAGAAATGCAAGTTTGCTGCCAAGGAATTGCGATACCTTGGGTACAAAATTTCAAGTAAGAGCATCGAAACCGGCAATTCCAAGATATTAGCAATTAAAAGCTACCCTTCCCCAAAACACGACTAAGAAATTATCTTCATTTTTGGAATTGTGTTCCTATTATAGAGTATTCATCAGACTTTGCAAAGATTGTTGAGCCTCGTTTAGTGCTTAAACGAAAGGAAACCAGGTTTTCTCGGACAGCCGAGACGAACATGGCTTTCGAATAATTAAAAAAAGCCCTAATTAATGCTCAGTCCTCAAATTCCCAGAAGGTGAACAAAATCTAAAGATTGCTGCGGATGCATCCGATCACGCAATTGCTGTGGTTCTTTCCCAAAAGGGGCAGCCAATAGCTTTATTTTTATTTATTTATTTATTTATTTATTTTTTTTTTTTTCAAAAACTCGTAACTCAACTCAAAGGAACAACTCGGCAACAAAGCAAGAAACGCTCGCTGTTTTATTAGCTGTTCAGAAATTTCGCATTCACATCGGAAGTGCTCCGGTAACAGTATACTCGGACCGTGCGGCAGTCGGTCGCTTGTATTCGGGGAAAAATCTGTCGCTCCGCCTGATACGGTGGACATTAAAATTAGAAGAATTTAATTTAATTATAAAACATATGCCTGGAAAAGAAAATTTAGTAGCCGATGCCCTTTCAAGAATAAAAATTGATGACAAGGGGAATACAGTCAAGCGTGCTATGCTCACTTCAAAAGTTATTGAGTCCCGTGAGTCTATCAATGAAGAATTAAGAAAGGATCCTGAATTCAATCCTGAATTCGGCGCATTACGAAATAATTGATAAACTACTGTTTTACACGAAGATAACAAATTCGAATCAGGAATACCGACCAGTAATCCCAGCGAGTCTACGGTTAAATATTCTAGAAGAACTCCATGACTCTCCGAAGCAGGACATCTTGGAATTCGAAAAACCACACACAGGATCCGCGAAGCGGTTTATTTTCCGCAGTTGCAGAGGATAATTACGGCGTATGTCAGGTCGTGCCACTTGTGTCAATTAATAAATTATGTTAATTACAGCCCGTATGAGTATTTAAAAATATAAAGACCACTTCTCAAATTAAATGGTTGGCATTGATTTCCTCGGACCCTAGCCTAGAACAAAAATAAATAAAAATAAATGTTTGTTAACCATAGTTGATCATTTTTCAGAATGGGTAGAAATAGTTCCCCTTAAATGAGCTTCTGCTAAAACAGTCCCAGATTCGTTTTTAAATAAGTATATTTTAAAATACGGGGCTCCACTTAAAATATGTATGGGTGATTTACATTATTGAAAAAATTATTGATTTGATTAAAAGAACACTAATGTTTATGATAACATTACAAAGTTGTTGAAAAATTTAAAATACACCAGACTTCTATTTATTTTTTCCCTTTACTTTTATGTATTTACTTGTTTAACCTCTGGCCTTATTATTTACCACATTTCAGTTTGTAAGCATCCTAAGTTTTACTAACGTTTATTTTTATTTTAAATCTTTACTATCACTTCTTATTTTCTATTTCCGGCCAGAATTAAAAGCTTTAACTTATTTATGCAAATTTGTCTTGCTAACGCCAAGTACTTAAATTGTGGCTTTTTGCCAAGCAAGAGAGAGGAAGGAGTTATTAGAAGCAGGCCGCTTGCCATAGTAGTTTTACTCGGTTGCTGGTTGCCTTCAAGGCCAGAGGTTTAGTCCTCTTGATAAGTTCAAACGTATCGTAGTTTTAGCAGCTCTCTGTACTACATATGGATTTTTGTTAAATAACGGCCAATCTTAAAGTTAGGCACTTGTATATTAATTCAAAGTTAGTTTTAGTTAGAGTTTTAGTTAGCAGTTTTATATTCTTACGTTCAGACCACAAGTGGTTGGTCTCTGTATTCCGAAGTTCCGGAAACCTCTGTAAAGATAGAAAAATAAAGGGTTTCGTATACCCTTCCTGTGTGTATTGTCTACTTCACAATTTATTGAACATAGCTTGAGTAAGCTCCCTGTGCCGAGTCAGGACAGTTCATGTTTCCAAAGCAAGTAAAGAGGAACACAAGTCCTGATAAGTTTAACATGTGTTCCTTAATTTACTTTGAAAATACCGTGCATTTACAAATGTCAATTTTTTTTTTTTTTCGGATAAGAATTTTACACATACTTGGAACAGATGCTTTCTTTCACACGAACTAAATGATAAGAGGAGAAGCTGCAGATTTTTCCAAATCCAGCATATGCTGGCGTAACGCAAGGATTCTCTTTTTCTTATAAAGCTCAAATATCCTTGGCACAAAGTAAGATATTTTTTTTATTTTTTATTTTTAAATAATTTTTTTCTTTAGAATTTTAAACACATATCTTCAAAATTGCATTAAATCATTCGAAACTCAAAAATTTAATTCCAATTTCGCAGTTCTGGTATTTCATGCTAAATTATAGTTAAATAGATATTATTTAAACACCTTTGAATTTAATTTATTTCCCAGCCTTATAATCAAAACTTGGTGTAATATTTAACATTTGAGGTTTCTACCAAAACTGGTATGACATTTAAAAAGGCTAAGAAAGAAATTTATTTAATTTTAAAATGAAAGTGTTATTTTCTTAAAATTATTAAATATTACCTATTAAGACATTGTTTAGCATTGTTAAGTTCATGATTGATTGAGTCGCACTAAATATGATATCTCGTTGTTCATTTTCACTTTTAAAGCAGTGAAAATATAAAGCTAAGGTACGAGGCAAAGTATAAAAAGAATATTACGAATAAGTATTTATATCTGTAATTAACATTTGTTAATAAGAAACTTATGCTAATTTGATTCAAATTTTGAGCAACTTTTAAAATTAAAGCAGTCTTTTTAAAGTAGTTTCGTTTTTATGTTTTTACCAACTTTTGTTAACAATAAACATCTGACGGGGGCAACACGGTTTCCTCGTACGGCCTATTAAATTATACACATTTTTTTGCTTCTCTTCATTTAAAGTTACTTCCTCGAAATAATTAAGCTACCCTGAAAGCAAGTAGAAAATGGCATCAAAAATTATTAAATTAAATATCCCGGCCAATTATTGTCGCACGGTAATCAAACTTCTTATAATTTAATTTTTTTATATGGAGTATAAAACTTCACAAACATAAGAAAAGGAAGACAGCGTTAAAAAATAAATTTCGTTATTTTCCCAAAATTAATTTTTTTCTAAAATTTACCATTGCCAAGATAGGAATATTTTCATTATTTAAAACATTTCTGTAACTAAATGTATATGAATTCGGCCAACGATTCCTGAAATAAAAGCCGGTTAAGGACTTATAAGCCGCTTTTTAAGGTTTGGGTATATAAATATATACTTTTGGTGCTGCTGATTGCAATAAAAAGGCAGATGCAGAACTAGATGTTACAGCACTCCCATATACAAAATTTCAATGTTCTACGATTAATCGTCTTTGAGTTATGCGAGATACATACGTACTTACATACACATAGACGTCAAGGAAAGAATCAATTTTAAATAAATTTTATGATCCGTTTTGAAAATAAGTGTCCTTTTTCCTATACGTAAGTGCAAACATCAAGAAAAAATAATCAAAACGGAACGGTCAAAATGAATTTTTAGCCTGAAATATGATGCCTGGAATGTTCCGCTATAATATTTCCTTTATTTCGTACAAGGAAGTAAAAATAGATTAAAAAGTGGCATTTTTAGATTTTTTTATCGTTAACAAGTGCTGCTTTAGTTGGCAAAATTTATTTTAAAATAAGTGTAAAGAAAATCTATACTATTCGGGGGAAAATATAAAAAATGTAAATGTAATAGTTTCGGACAGACGAAGTAAATTTCAAGGAAACTTCTATTTGGAAATATGATGCCACTTCAGATAAGAATTCTACCTGTTACGTAAAACTACAGCTTAAAACGACATATTAAGAGCATTTCTTTTAACACACGGTTCTTCTCGCTTTTTAAAAATACATTTTTTGAATATTATTATGCTTGCTGCATTCATAATCAAATATTTTTAAAAATACGCAGATCTAAGAATTCTGTTCGTAAAAATTATTGTCTAATTTCCCTTTAAAGGAATAAAAGCCTTATAGTTCCAAAGCGTTGTATTTATTAAGTTGAAAACGTTATGTTTGGATTTCATGAAAAGATGCATTTGATTAAAACATGCGCATATTTTAATTCCTCACAGAATTTAACTACTTTATTTTTGAAAACATATCAATAGTTAAGTTGGAAAACTGGAAAAAATTAGTCATTTCTTCCGGATTTCAGATGCTGTATTTGAGCTTATGTGTATTTGAGCTTGAGTATATTATTTCCGCTTTTCTAAAAAACGATTCGAAGTTGGATTTGGGTTTAGTTATTGTAGTTTCAAAATTTGTAAGAGAATAAATGTATTAAAAATTGAAGGAGAACATAACAGAAATAAATATGAAACATGCACCTGGATATAGAACACGTTTTGAAAAGCAAATTTTTGAATGAGATATCATATGCCGCAAAAAACTGACCTAAGAATTAAACAAATGAAGTAATTAAAAATAAGCAACGAGAACTGGCGTAGAGGGAGCAAATGTACAATACTACTGTTTCGAAAGTTAAAAATAACTTTTTTCTTCAGCTGCATAGATAGAAATGATAGGAAATAAATATGTGCTTGCATGGGAACCGTCAGCTTTTCCAGATTTTGGTTTTTAGTTGCGTATCCACTTCTGTTTTTAATCAACAAATGACGTCAGAAGACCCAATTTCTATATTTGGCTAGAAATTCTCAAATTCTTTTCTGTTGTTCCCACACAGCTATATGTTTCTTCTTCATCGTTTTTGCTTGAAAAAGAAAACCCTTCGGAATTATCGTATCGTAAATTTAATCACGTTACGAAGATTCCCATTGTTCAGCTCTTGATTCTTATTTCACATTTCGAAAAAGTTAATAACATATAATCAAAAGTTACTTATCAATAACCTAATCGTGTAGTTTTGGAAGAAATGTTCTTTTTTCTAGAAGCAATTAAAATAGGAGTCATATTTTGATCATATAGGGATACAATTTGGCCTTATTCTCAACCTAATAGAGGACGAGTGTACAAGACATTTTCCGTCTTCATTCATTTCCCGTTTCTTGAACAACTTTTCTAAATATACCTTTCGTGCCCTGTAAATTTGATGTAAATGTGAATCAATTCCATTTAGAAAATCGTCAAAGAAGGTCCATCTTCTCTTCGCATAATTCTCTTTGGACAGTGGCGTAGCTAGAGAAAGGAGAAGGGGGCGGTCTGCCTCTTGCGGCACATTTGAGGGATCGGTACTCTTTGAGTGAAACATTGTTCTATAGCTGTTAGTCAGCTTCCCAGACGGGAAAATGGTTAGTGACTCTGACCACCGAACCGAAGCGTCTGCGCTCGAAATCCGGAGAAGGAATGGACATAAATTGCCTATCCCTTCATAGGAGATAATGGTGGTCACCTGTTACAAAGAATATGTAGACTTTCTTTGCCTGTTAGGTGCCTCCATAATAAAATGACCACTGCTTTTGGCATTAGCAGCGGCCAAAGTCTGAAATGGCCAATGCCCGCAATAAAAAATAATAGCGGTTAGTCATGTAGGTCGTCGAAGCACTTAAATAATAATGAGATTTTAAATTGCCATACGGAATTAAAACGAGAAAAAAGTAGTTTTTTTACTCTAGATAAGGCATTCAAAGAAATCGCTTTGAGATTTTAATAACTACACAGTCTGTTTTGTACGTTTTCTTATTTCATCGAAATTTATGAAGGAAAATTACGAATATGAATTAAATTATGATCACAGCGAATAAGGTGGTATTTCTGAGTTTTATTTTCATTACTGCTGGGAAAAACGAAACAGGAAAGTAAAAGGGTGGTCCTTTTGAATTTTTGCAGTTTATTTTAAAATATCATCTCCAGAACAAAGTTCCAAATATTATTGCGAATTTTCCTCACAACTGACGTAAGTGCTGCTAATTGTGAGAAAATATTTCTGAATAAAAATCATTTAAGAAATACTTAAAAGAACTATAAATATTCATTTTGCAATTAAGAAATCTTTCTGTATTTTCTACATTACAGACCAACAAGTATCAAGTAGACCTCTACGATGTTATCGATAGTTTTGAAAAAAAAAAAAAAAAAAAAAAAAAAAAAAAAGCAAAATAATAACATAATTTTAAAATGCTAGAACTAAAATTTTTCTTCAAAAATATGCATAGAGATAAAATTTATTTTCCTATATGTCATTTTCACATATACGGAATGTACCGAAAGGGCACTTTGGGTAAGCAAAGTAAGGGACCACTCGGGAAGGCAAAATCTCTAGCTGCGCCACTTCTTTTGCATACTGTACAGTTAGTTGCTTAACAAAGGCGCTGCTGGTCTCCGATGGGCGTTGAAAAAAATATTAGGATAGCATGCTTATACTAGGGGCATTGAGGATCAAATGGACAAGAAGAATATAATCTGGAAATGAGTGCAAAACGCTATGTACTTAAATATTGCCTTGATTCTTTTGATCTCTTATAATACATATTAAGCAATACAGTTATTTCGTTTCACAAGAATCATTTCAAGTCATTGTACCTTTCATACGCGTTAGCTGAACATTGTATGTACATAAATTCATTATTTATTTACTTAAGTATGAAACTTAAAAATGACAGTTTCAATTTATCAGTCTAAAATTCTTAACTGGAATTGTCAGAGAGGTATTTCTCACGATGTGCAAAAAGTACTCATTCAGCTCCACTTTAAGTTTTTGCAAATTCAGCGCTCATCTGTGAAGCAAGAAGCAAGTTTAATTACTGTAAATATTAAGTGAATGAAAAACTTAAATCATAACTAATCTATCCCCTGACTTTCATTCAATAAACTACTTGATGCAGACCAATTTCTATAAATAGATTGTCAAAAATTTCAGTACAAGTTTAGTCAATGACTACAAATCCCGTTCAAAAGGATATCTAGTGCTAAGGATCGAATGTGGCTAGTCTCATCGGTGAAGGTAACTTCCTAGCACTTCACTAAAGTTACCTATCTTTCGTCACTGCGCAAAAGCTTATAAAAGGCATAAAAGTGCCAACACCATTATAAAACTCACGTCATGAGGTAGAAACCCTCGTTAAAGATGCTAGGATACTCACGTGAAGGTCGCTCATGTAAGTCGTGAACGATCACTAACCTGCACAAGACACTGGAACCTTTTCGAGTTGACTATTGCTCGCCAAGACACAAGAGCACCTAGACATATAGGCAGGTGACGGAGGACGGAGCATCTGGTTGCTAACAGCGATAAGCAGGTGTACATCCTACGCCCTTCTCTGACTAAAAGTAACAACTCCCTAGAGCCCATAGAAGCACCCTTCGGGAGTTTAGATGAATACAAATTTAACGATTAAAGCTGGAAATTTTGGCACAATAGAGATAGTTTAAAAGCGTACTTGATAAGTAATGATTAAAATAGTACGGAGTATTATGTTGCAAATGTCCAGAATGCTAAAGAGACAAGTAATAGGTTGTTATAGATGAAATAAACCTAGAAAGTCCATGCATTAGTCAGATTGTAGAGTCATTAGGCTATTTTGAAGCAGGAGAGATGAAAAATGAGCAACGCCTTCACCGGAACTTGAACCATAGGCCTCTCGAATACGCGTTGAGTGTGCTGACCACTACTCTACGAAGGCATGCTAAGAAGTTGGAAGAAGTACATTATATACTCCACCTTTTAAAGGGCGACTGGGGATTAGGGGAACCTTTCGCCAAATCCTCGTGGTGGAGAATCATCACCAACCATCCTTTTAGTTCGGGGACCACTGTAAAATCATTAGGTTATTTCGAAGCAGGAGAGATGAGAAATGAGCAACGCGTTCGCCGGGACTCGAACCATGTACCTCTCGAATACGCGCCGAGCGTGCTGACCAGTAAACTACGAAGGCATGCTAAGAAGGCGGGAGAAATACCTTATAAGATATTTATACAGATAGTTTGGTACTAATAGAGCATGAAGCAGTTTAAATTCACATTATGTGCATAGTAGTTTCTTTTAGTTCGCAATTCGCCGTTCATTGCAGTTCGCATAATCACGCTGTATTGCACTAAGTATTCAGACTGCCCACGGAATGCGCTGCAGCTCTGCATTGTATAATATATGCTATTAAGTTTTGAGCAGGTTAAGGTTTGAGTCAACTTAGCGTTATATTGATATGTGTAGCTCTCGGCTACTAGATTGTTTGAAATTAAATTTTACATTTGACTTACTGTTACTTTACGTTATCTCAGCCACAAGTGTTTGGCTGAGTTATAAGCATAAAGTGTGTGCATCCTGTTCTTATTTAGTTTTAAATAAAGGGTAAAAAAGCTTCTCAAGTTTCAGTTGCTATATAGCGATAACTCGTTGCCAGTCTATCTAAAATTTAGTTACAGTTTATGATTGCCAGAAGATATGTAAACTTTAAATTCTTTTATACTTCATGTAGCATTTGTTACAAAAACCAGATATTTGTTTACTATTATGTACATTATTCATCTCAATTAAAGTTTAGTGTAATTTTCAAAAATATATTTAAATTACCTTGTTATGATATTCTGTTATTATACACCTCAGGAAAATACGCCATGACGACTGCAATAATTTCAGTACTTGCTGCTATGTACTTGGGGAGTACGTTCGATCTGATAAAATACCAGAAAGGTAATGCAGATGTCTTCGAACCGAGTACCTTGGAAGGAAATTTACAGGTAAATGGAAGTTTTTAAATACGAAAAAGAAGGAAGTAAATTAAATAAAAGTAAATGATGAAGAATTAATAATGTGACGAAATAACTAATCTGTATTAATTCTGAAAAGAGAAAACGATTATCATGAGCATGTAAAAGATTTAAAATTTCTCATTTGGCCAAAGTACAATTCAGAAATTGAAATGAGAATTCTGCTTACAATGCAAAAATGTATAATTTTTGCACTACAATCAATTACCGAAAGTACTTTTGTTAAATCTATGATAATATGTACTGGTTTGTTGGTATTTTTGATTTAGTTTGTTTGTAATGTTTCTTGGCAGCCGTATGTTTAAAGGATGTATTTGAATTAATAAGAAATATCTGCTTAACGCAAGGGTTCGCAACCAAGAGGAATTCCAGCAAGAAGGGGGGAGTGAAGAATTTATAGGTTAGGTTAAGTTAGGTTATTTAATTACGGCAAAGCCTCGAGGGCTATCTGCCTAAGGGGAGGGATACCTTCGTGGAGGACTTTCTAAGGAAACTGGTTCGTATACACGTCACACATGGGGAAAACCACGAAAACACCCATGCAGCCAGCCCGTTTGCGGGATTTGAACCTCGGAACGCACTACCAATGTTCGGCGACTTTACCGCTCGGCCGCTGGTGGCCCAGGAGAATTTTTAGATTCATGGGAATATGCGGTCAGACTTTTATTTAGCTGTTTAGTATTTAATTTCATTATTTCATGAATATAAAAACTACTTTTATTCAAATTTTGATATTCATCAATATTTTCTACACTTTGTGTTGTTTCATGTATAAAACACATTAAAAAACAATCTAAGTGTAAAGTAAAGTAATAAAAAGTAAATGCATGTGAATTTTCTAGTTTTGTAAAGGGGGTATGATCTTGTAACAGTGGTGAAAGGTGTCTGTGGGGCAAAATAGACTGAGAACTTCTCGCTTAACGAATGGAAAAGCAATTAGGAAAATTCAGATAAGCGTACATATTTTATGAAATATTATAATATTTTAAAGCAAAATTGATATGATATGCCAGATTTTGATCGAACATAGGCGCTTTCCTGGCAATCTTGCCTGGCTGCCTTATTTTATTTGAGGCCTATTCAGGCCTCAAATAAATATGAACATTGGAAATTTACGAAGATTTGCCGACACTTCATGGAGGCATGTCCATTCGCTAAATTAATTAGGTATAAATGTCTCATAATTATTCCAAAGAATGTTTTTGTAGATTATAAAAGATTTCAGTTATTTTCTACACATGGAATGTTGTTTATAAATAGTAATAGCGAGCCAGCAGATACTAATACGTAGAGGATATGTTTTTTTTTTTTTTTTTTGCCTTATTAGTTAATGCTTATTGCAGTTTGTTTTCCTAAACTTTGTCCTTCAGGCCTTACGGAATGCTTCGTTGTTTAGCTGAGCTGGACTTGTCTGCTATGAATAAATGAATGAATGTAATCGATAATCATTGCCGTAAACGTAATGTATCAATTTAAGTGTGTATGATTTCACGCTTATTAATTTTGCCTGCAGTGTCACTTATACTTTCCTCAACTGTCATCAGTATGCAAATTAGTTACAGTATATAAGTACTGAGTTTTTAAGAGAGGGCTTTTTTCAGCGTCTATTGACTATTTCTGTGCTACAGAAACAACTATTTCTATTGTTCGATACTTTCGATAAGCCGAGTTTCTTTTACTAGGCAGCTAGACCTTGCTATGTCACAGTTCTTGGTTTAAGGATTTTATCCAAATATTCTAACTTTTTAACTTTATTACAATTTGTTATGAGAACTGATCAGTCACAGCGAAGCAAACAAGTGTGAACATACAGTGTGAAAGGACTTAATGTCTTTTACGTATTAAGCCATAAAGCCTTCGCCTGAACAAAGCCAAAGACGGAAGCCTGAGTGGAAACGTAGTAGATATGCTTTGTCTCTTTCTATCTGATACTTTAATAAAACCTTCTTTCGTGTTATGTGTTACTTCACTGGAAGATTAAAACGGGTTGATAAGTCACCTGACTATCTAGACTGTGCCAAAGTTAATATTTAAGATAATTAGGCTCCGTAGAAGAGTTTATGTTACAGGTTAAATTAAGATGAATGCACATTCGAAACAAAAGGAAGGCATGTTAGGCACTAGCCGCAGTTGAATAACTAGAAAGAGTGCCAAAATTATCTACAAAATCCAGACATTCATTTTTTTAACAAGCAACGTATTTATTTTGGCCAGTATTTTTCTGTAAGCATTTTAGAGCCTTTTTTTTTTTTTTTTTTTTTTTTTTTTTTGCTTATTTATGCGTTTCTTATCTGTAGAACATTTTTAAGTGAGTAATTATTAATTCAAAACTCAAGGAAGAAAACGCTCTCAGCGGAAATATTGGAAATAAGCAAATGTATCAAAATTCTATAAAAATATATCGTTTTACCTAAATTTTAATATTAAATGTAATAATTCTTGGTGTTTGATGTATTTAATTATGGCAAAGCACACTAGGGCTATCTGCCTAAGAGAAAGGATGCCTTCGTGGAGGACTTTCTTATAATAATTCTTGATTAAATGTTAAATGTTGTTATACATCTAATTTGATATTCCATTATTAGTTTCAAAGAGAAGTTAGTTCGATTTCCTTTCAAAATACAGTATTTTCGCATGTCTTTCTATCTGTAGATGTAATAAATAAATTTATTTTTTTAGGTAATAGATAGGAGCTTCACGCGGTCTCAGTACAAATTAGTTGAAACTTCCACTCAAGCAAGAGAATTCTTGGACGTCAGCGGTGCCCTTTCGTTGAGAATTAAAAAAGGAGATATATCTGTTGATGGTACGGGTGCATACTTAAAAGACATATCGAATCGACAAAAATTCGTTGAACTCCTCGTTAGAGTACAACATGAAACGGTAAGTGAAATCTATCCAGTTTGCATTAATACTTTTAGAATTATTCGGAACTTTCTGTTTTTTATGAAGTTTGATTCTTAATTTGGATCAAAACTGAGAAATAAGAAATATTTCTTTCAATTCTAGGATGTTCTAAGAATCTATAACATTTTCAAAGCTAACAATTAACTTTACAAAAAGATATAGTTAGAATGTGTTCAAAAATTCATTGGCAGTCATTATAAAAATGGAATAATCGGAAGCAAGAGGATATAGTTCAATAACTTAAATTAATCTCTATGCTCACACACACACACAAAAAAAAAAAAGGTTACAAATTAACTTAAACGTTTTCCTATTTTCACTTTGAATCAGGATGTGAAAATGAATCAATTCTTAGTAGATGCGCCATTGGAAATATTTCTGTAATGGGTTTTGATCAAAATTTCAGAAAAGTTATTCTAAAACAGAAATTAAAATAAATTCAGTCACAGTTCTAGAAACATAAAATCTTAAAAATTACTCAAAATTTAAATATGTAAGAACATATTTAGTATGCAAAACCATTTTATAGAATTTACAAAATTATCCCAATCCAAATTATTCGAATTTGTGTAGAAATCTCTTGCAGATTAGTATGCTAAAACGAATACCTTTTAAAAATGTTACGAGTAATTAGTAGAGCTGAAAAAAGATTATAGAAACATTACTTTTCGTTGTGACACATTTATTATTAGAGACACATTTTATTCCATTATACACATTACTTCTTTGTGACACATTATAGGAATTATTATTACCACAACTTTCTTTGTGATAAATGCGGAGAGAAAACTGAAATTAATTTTAATAAAAATTTTTTAATAATCATCAGTTCTACTGTCTTTTCATTGCTTGTCTCTAATTTGCAGCCGTCTCAGGCTAAATTGGAGTACAGGTAACACTGCACTGAGTTTAATTTTTCATATTTTTCTTTTACATATACCGTGGAACCTTGGTTCACGAACACCTTCAATCGCGAACAAATAGATTTACGAACAAATTTACCAAAGCAAAAATGTCTTGAATGATGAATAATGTCTCGGAATACGAAGAAGAAAAGTGGTAACAAAAGATATCCAAAATACAGTTAAAACAGTAAAAGTCTTCAGAAGAAGAAGAGAATAGGGAAAATGTTCCTAGTTATCTGATCGGCTAAGTTTGTGTAAAATGGCATAAAATGCGAATGCTCATAGAACAATATCACCTTGATAAATCATTAGTAAGCTGTAGCATATAATGTTTGAAGTCATAGTCTTGTTTTAGTTACATTTTAAAACATTGACAGGACCATATCACAGTGGAAGCATTTTCAATAGGACAAAGGCTCAGTGAATCTTAAGTATAGGACAGTAATGTTAAGAGAAAGAAAAAAAATCCTGAAAGACAGCAAATGCTTTATAATTTTACAGAGTAAGATTTCTTTTTAAAATAATAAAACTTTATACACCTTTGGCTTCTTCAACTTTCCTATTTATGCCGTCAACTTTCTTCCTTAGGTATACCCTAAAATTTAATACATGTTTTTCTATTTTTTATGAATTTAGCATTGTGTTAAATATTGCGTTTATATTAATATTATGAATGGGCTAGATTTACTGAAATGTATTGATTTGGGTTACGAATTACAATCAAAGTAGTCTTTTCTAAGCAGCCATTTTGGACAAGTGAAACGGATTAATTCATATTACATTAATTCCTGCGGGAAAACTTTTTTTTTTTTTTTTTTCAAATATTTCGGATGACGCACTATGTTCAGAAACGAAGTAAATTCGGAACCAAGGTTCAGTCTACTTATAAATGCACATAATTCGAAGGTAGGTACAAAGTGAATAACCCGGTAAAACATCTGAAATTGAGTAAAGGATCTTAGAATGAATTTTACTTAATGAATTTTCAATGCTTGAACCACAGAAGATTCAGGAAACTACAGATATTCAAAAATACCTTCCCATAGTAACAGCAAGATCACAATTCATAAGGATTAAAATACCAAATAGGCCCCTTTAAATTAATGGCATCATGATAATTAATAATGCTGTTCTTACAGGTGACGGAGACTATTCCTTCTCATTTGAAACCGAAGCTGGATTGGATGTCACTGCCTCCTGAAAGCGTAGGCACTCACTACGTGAGAAGTATCACCTATGGAGGTGAACTGATTGCTTCTCTCAGACTCAAAGCAAACAACAGAGAAGAAAGAGAAATGATTAAAGCAGCTGTCAGCGCTAATCTACAGCTAACTGGAACATTTGATCTTAATGCTAATGGTAATAGCAATTTAATTACGTTATACTAAAAAATTAAGAATTGTTTCCTCTCTGAAATCTGAACATGACATTAGTATTATAATTGTCATAGATATCAACATAAGAAAACGCTCCTTTTTACAAAAATTTGTAAAAATTGAGGTCTAAACTAACGTTTTCAATATTTTCATATTAAAAGCAACTTAAACGTTTAGAGACAACATTCGCTTAAAAACTTTAAAAAATATTTTTTCCATAAAATTTTGGAAGAAACTGCTTCACGGTAGGTTTTTCCAAGTCGTAGTCTCAGAGGATCACAATTAATCCCATATGTGATATAACAGAGCCAAATAATGCCGGAGAAGCACTGAGAAGAGATATCTAGAAAATGCATGTGCTTTAAGTATTGCATAGACTTAATTAATCAGATCATTGCAGCTCGCATGTTTCCAGATAGATTATTTTAAAAAATTATAAGGTAGGCTCAAAGTAATTGGCGAAATTAAAAGACCAAACGATAAAATATAAAAGCAAAACAATAAATGTACATTTAGAAAGAGGGACATCTCAACTCTTGTTAAAGCCAGTTTAAACCAGTTATTTTGTCGTTTATATATCAAAAGTTATGAATGGTTCGTTATCAACAAACACAAGTATATTAACGGTACAACCCTTTAAATGTGGACGCGAAAGCGTTGAAGATGAACCAAAGATAGGGCGCCCTTTAGTTTCAAAGAATGAGGAAAATTTGGGGAAAATTCGTTCTTTGGTAAAAGCTGATTGACGTGTAACAGCTGAGCTATTTTAAGATATTCTTGGGATAAGCAAAGAAAGCTGTCGACAAATATGAAAATGAAGAAAGTTTGTGCTCGATTTGGGCTTCGGATTCCGGTAGAAGAGCAAAAACGAAGACAGAAAAGCTTGCTGTGATGATTTACTGTCTACTGAAAGACACGTCAACAACTTCTTAAAGTGTATCCCAGCAGAAGATGAGACCTGGTATTTTCCGACCGCCTCATCCGCGACCATGAGCACAAATACGCATGCGCCATTAGAAACGAATTATTTTCAAAATAGGGTGGAAGGATGGGGACTTTCTTTTCCTCTAGCATATCTCTCTTCTCCGAAAAGAAAATTTTCACGTTGCAGCAAGTAGTAACGCCCCTTTTGGACGAGTCTATGTGTTTTGGCTGAATGTCAGCCAAGGTTGCGTTTCACACGGTAGGACTGTATCTGCAATACGACGCAGAAACAAAAAGACAAAAAGCATGGTGGAAAGGATCTTCTTTTCCCATACAAAAAAATTAGCAAACTTAAAGTGATACGGATTTTATTTTAAAGGCAAAGGGAATGGTGATTCCATTTTTTTGATTACGAAGGACTTATTCATTAAATTTGTCCCTGAATACCAATAAATTAATCAGTGTTTCTAAAAGGATGTACTTTTCCTGTTAAGAACTATTATAAGGCGAGTTGGGAAGAAACGTTTTCATTCTGGGCAATAGTTTCTTTTACACGATAACGCTAGGCCCCACACAGCATTATCTGTAAAACCATATATTGCCAAGCATTCAGTTGCAGTGATAAATCAGCCAGCGTATTCTCCCGACACTTATTGCCAACACGTGTTCTGTTCTTTTTTTTTTTTTTTTTTTTTTTTTTCCCGAAGCTTAAGATTGTCATGAAAGAACAGAGATTTGAAAATGTCTCTATCAAATGTTATGCATCTTTTGAGAACGGTTAGTTTCAACGCTACAAATTGTGTTTAGATGACCTGAACAAACGTTGGGATAATTGTAAAGACTCGTCTGGAGATTATTTTGAAGGAGATAAATTTGTATGAAGGTTAGTAATATTTTTCGAATTTTCAGGACTTGTCCGGTTCCTTTATGGGCGCACCTTGTAGAACTGATTCTTTGGGTCTATTTCTGATACAAAGGTGAAATCAAGAGGAATAAAGTCACTCAGATGTAAAAAATCAAAGGCTACTTTTTGTGAAACAACCTTAATTTCTGCATGAATATCTGGTCTTATTTATGCAGATTATTATTGATTGATCTGCTCTGTGCAATTTCGGATTAATATCTGAAAGCTACTTTATAATACCTGCTAAAAATGAGGAAACAATCGAAACATTTCATCATCATTCGTCAAGTTCGTATTTTTACATTTTTGTAATTGTGATGGTTTTTATTTCTCCAAGCAGTATTCAGAATTTTACTAGTGTTACCCACCTGTTTAGCCGAAAAAATTGTTGCAATAAATGATGATCTGTGAATGAGCCACGCCGATAGATAAAAAAAAAATTTCATTGTAGAAATTTGTAATCCTTTTCATATTGCATCTGAAAGTATTTCACACAGTTTTCCTAGGTGAATTTACAATGATATGTGATAATACTATGAACTTTGGTTTCGATATGAGATTTTTAAATCTGCGTTATTAAATAGCAATGATTATGTTTCTGTTTCTAATTTTATAACCGTTTTTCTCCGTAACACTGAAATTCATTCCAAAACACGTTTGGAACGAAAACATAAAAACAACGGAAAATAAAAACATTAGCAATTATAAATGGCTATAATTTAGAATTTCTATTAAAAATTTGCCATCCTTTGCTTTTTGTTGAATTTTGTTATTTTAAATGTCTCCAAACTTTTTAAGGCAATAACAAATTACTTTTCTTTGGTATTTTGAGCAAACATTGAGTTCTTAGTAAATAGCTTTTAAAGTAGAGTCTGTAATTTGATAATTTCTGTAGATACAAATCTTATTCTCTTTGGAACTTAACTCTAAGAAATTAACATATCTCAGCACATTTCTCGAATTCTCATAGTTAATAAAAATTCGATATTCAAATACTGAAAAATATTTTCAAGTTGTAATTCCTTCGTTTCTAGAAGGTGCTGTTTCACAACTAAGAGCTGTCTTTGAATCTAGAACTTGGAAGAATAGTCACTTATTTGTAGCTTACAGTCAGATAATTAGTCAACATGTAGAGACATTAGGTTAATTGGAAAAGTCAAAGAGATGAAAAATTCGCAACCGCATTCGCCGGGAATCGAACCACGGACCTCTGAAATACCGGCTCAGTGTGCTGACCACTACACCACGAAGGCACGTTAGGAAGGTGGGAGAAATACCTTATATTCTCCCCTTTTAAAGTGCGACGGGGTTTTTTTTATGAGACCCAATCGCCAATTCCTGGGTGGGGAGAAATCGTCATCCACCACCCTTTTAGTTCGGGCGCCACTGTAGAGACATTAAGTAATTTTTGGAAGAGAGATGAAAAATTAGCAACCGCCTTCGCCGGGAATCAAACCATGGACCTCTGAAATACCGGCTCAGTGTGCTGACCACTACACCACGAAGGCACGCTAAGAAGGTGGGAGAAATACCTTATAAACTGCACCTTCATTTAGGTTAAGTCTCTATGGCTTTCGTTTCATATTAGCAGTATTACCAATTCGAAGTTAATTCTCTTGTAAAATTTTTGATTAATAAATACCTATGGGTTTTGTTTGGTGTTACCTCCAATCCTCGAATTCCATATCACAGATTATGTTTTTACTGCATTAATATAAATATTAACAACACATAGTGCACAATAAAAATTAAGCTTTATTTCGGGAACTTCGCGCACACTCCCCGACAGCCTGCCTGTTTCGCTCTGCTCGCTACTCGTAAGAAACTTCTCTAGGGTTGCCACACTTATCGGAGGGCGCAAGGCGCGCTCCTTATCGCCATCACCACAGAGTTTCCCCCCCCCAGTTCCTTTAATGGCTATTCAAAGGAACGACATAGGTTAAGAAATTATCTCAGAGGAACCGTACTGTCGGGTATTTTTTTTTTTTTTTTTTTTTCATGATTACAAAATTAGAAAAGATCAAAATGCAGTTCAATATATAACAAGGTAATGACACATATAATAAACATGAAATAACAAAAAATATGTTACGATATGAATTTTAAAAAATTGTTATGTAAGAAGCAAGTTTCTTAGGGAAGTGAACATGTCCTCCCGATCTGGTGACAGTTTGTGTCTTAGAGAGTTCGTTTGCAGATTTATTCTGCTGAACTGTCTTTAAGTCTTTATTTGTTTTCAGTTCAGGCAAATTAGAGTCCGAAAGCAAATAGGCTGGTTTCACACGGTCTATAGACACAGTAGATTTCAGACCGTGAATATCAATTGTGAAAGTTTTGTTCGTTCTAGAAAGGACTTTATGCGGACCTGTATATGGTTGGCACAGAGGTGGCTTTACTCGATCGACACGTAAGTATACATGCGTACACGACTTTAAGGTAGCACTTACGTAACATTTTTCTTGGCAATGTGCAGATGTTGCTATTGGATTCATTGTGTTGCATTCTATGCCGAAGATTCGTGATAAATTGTGTGTCATACGGAGATATCTTAGATGACGTTATCATATCTCAGGCAGCTTGAGAGTTGTGCCGTACACACAGTTCAGCAGCACATGACTGTAGATCTCCTTTACGGCTGTCCGAAGAATACCAAGCATAACAACTGGTAGTGTTTCAGTCCAGTTATTGGTCTCGTGAGCCTTGAGAGAAGATTTTAAATGTCGATGAAATCGTTCAACAATGCCGTTGGACATTGGATGATAGGCTGTTGTTGTGATTCTGTTCGTACCCAAAATGCGCGTAAATTCTGCAAAAAGTGCGGATCTCATTTGAGAACCTTGGTCTGTTGTTATGATCGATGGGCAGCCAAAACGAGATATCCAACAGTTGAAGATGGCTCTGCAAATGGTTTCCGTTTTCATATCCGGGATGGGAATGGCTTCAGGCCATCTGGAGAATCTATCTATTAGAGTCAAAAGGTACACGTTGCCTTCTGATGGAGGTAACGGTCCGACGATATCCATATGGATTTCTGAAAAACGTGCATCAGGAAGAGAGAATGTGCCCAGTGGTGCTTTAGTATGCCTAGTAATTTTCGATTTTTGGCAAGATTCACAGGATTTCACCCAATTTTTGATATGACGTTTCATATCGGGCCATACATAACGAGAACAAATAAGCTTCGTAGTAGCTGCAATTCCTGGATGTGACAGATTATGCAGATGATTAAAGATGAGTCTGCGAAAGGAATTCGGAACAAATGGACGAGGAATGTCTGTTGATATGTCACAAAGAATATTACCATCAGAATATTGGCACGGTTTAAATTCCAGTTTCAAAGATGATGTGTTGTTTTTGAGAAGGTCTTGTACCTCCGGATCATGCCGTTGAGCTTCCGAAAATTTTTTTAAAATCCAAAAATGGAGATTTTGTTATGGAATCAATTTCGATTCTTGAAAGAGCGTCAGCAACGACGTTTTTTGAACCTTGCACATGCCTAATATCAGTAGAGTACTGAGAAATAAAATCTAAATGGCGCAATTGTCGAGGTGAACATTTATGAGGGTTCTGTTTAAAAGCGTATATTAACGGTTTTTGATCCGTATAAATTATAAAATTTCTGCCCTCTAACATGTGTCGGAATTTCTTAATTGCAGAATAAATAGAAAATAATTCCCTATCGTACGCGGACCATTTCTGTTGACTTTTATTGAGTTTCATAGAGAAAAATGCTATAGGTTCCCATGTTTGTTGAGACAACTGCATAAGTGTGCCGCCGATTGCGACGTCTGAGGCATCTACCCAGATGCTTAGCTGGGCTCCGGAATAGAATAGGGTGTCTCAAAAGGGTAGCCTGAGCAATGGCATTTTTGGCAGCAATAAAGGCTTGTTCAGCATTCTCGTTCCAATTTAATTGTGGGGATGAATCCTGAACACGAGAACGAGATTTCTTTTTATTAATATAGCCTTCTAACAATTTTATTAAAGGAGAAAGAATATGTGCTGCTTTAGGTATGAAACATCTATAAAAGTTAAACATGCCTAAAAATCGGCGAAGCTGAGTGAGAGTGGTAGGTTGAGGAAAATCTAAAATACATTTGACTTTGTCAGGAAGAGGTTCAATTCCGTTTTCACTAAGGTGAAAACCTAAGAAATCAATAGACGTTTGACCAAAGGTGCATTTTGAAACATTTATGCAAAGTCCATATTCCTGAAGTTTGGAAAATAAAGCTTTCAAATGCCTGCAGTGTTCCTCAGAATCTTTAGAGGCTATGAGCAAGTCATCGACGAAAGCGTAAACACCTTCTAAATCCCGCGTGACTTCCTCTATAAAACGTTGAAAAGTCCAGTAAAATCGGCTAAGTATGGAATAGGGTATTTGTCTTTTATTGTTTGAGCGTTCAATGCTCGATAATCTCCTACAGGTCTCCATTCCAGACTTCCCTTTTTTGGAACCATGTGAAGTGGGGATGCATAATTGCTGCTCGAAGGTCTCAAATGCCCCAATTGCATCATAGTTTGAAATTCTTGTTTTGCTATTTTTAAGCGATCTGGAGCTAACCGACGAGGTTTTGCAACCACAGGTGGACCTTTAGTTATGATATAATGAACGGTGTTATGTTTAACAGGTTGGTTAGGATCTGGTAATCTAGTAACTGAAGGAAATTCTTTTAAAATTTTGTGATATGGTGTATCACTAAATACAGTTTTTACTGAATAAATGCTTGCATTTTTCACGCAACCGACGGTTTTAAAATGCGTTTTTAAATCTTTGAGACATTTGTTTCTGAGATCAGGCACCAATTCAAAGAAATGGAGAAAATCTGCTCCAAGAATGGGTGTGTACTAACATTTGCTATAAGAAAAGTCCATGTAAACTGTCGTCTTAATTTGAAATCCAAAGAAAGTGTTTTTTGACCATAAACATGAATAGTAGAAGAATTAGCAGCGAAAAGTGTTTGTTGGGACGAATTCCGTTTTTGAGAATTATTTGCTGGAAGTAAGGACACGTCAGAGCCGGTATCGACCAAGAATGAAAGGTTTGTTCTACGGTCACGAACGAACAGGCGACGTGAAACTTGAGGCAAAGAATAAGTCGCCTCTATTCTTTGCTGGTTTCGTTTCCCTGCCATGAACAAGGTTTTGTACATTTGTCATCTCTACACTTTTTCCCAAAACGTCTATGATACCAGCAAACAGAATAATCTCTCCTTTTGGAATTGCTTCTTTCCTTATTGCGATCTCCGCGATTTGGCGAGCGACCACGAGAAAGAGAAATGCGATCAATACGTTTGTTTAATTTTTCTATTTGTTTAAATAATTTATCCTCAAGAGACTGATCGACTGTGCGAGAAACGGCACAAGTCCCTGGGGTTGGATTTACTTCTAAAATTCTGTCGGCAATTTCTGCAGCTTTATCTACAGTTAAATTGGAAACCGCTGCCAAAATAGACTGAACAGTCGAAGGCAAACGTTGAAGGAATAATTCTAACATTAAGTTATCAGGAACATTTAAAGATTCTGCTCGACGTTTCATATTTCTAAGCAAATCGGAAGGTTTTCGAGAACCTAATTCTTCTCCAGATAATAATTGGCGAATTTCTTGCTGAGAAGATTCTCCTGAACGATTTATTAACTCAGTTTTGAAGCTTTGCATATGGATCAATAGGGTCTGGTTTCATAAGTAAATCCCGTACTAGTGATGCGATATCTGGAGGAAGATGAGAAAACTACATAATTATATTTAGTAATGGATTCTGTGATAGGTTTGGGGGTGGCAAGAGCAAAGGTACTTTCACACATAATAAACCATAAAGATGGGTCTGATCGGTTATAAACCGGAATTTGGACGGCATGAACATCAGACATTGTGCAAGGTTTTTAAGCCAAAATAAAAGCAAAAATTTAACTAAAGAAAATGAAATTAAATGATAAGTAGAAAAACAGAATTATAAAATGATCTATAATTACTACTCATCTGTGATTCCGGAGGAGGATGAAAACCGATGTAATCCATTACTTCTGGTTTGGAGATCTTGAGTGATGGCTTGTAATCAAAACCGAAAGTGCTTGAGAACTGTTCATACGACTTGATTTAACACAGTCCGGGTTACCATTATGGTGATTTCCTGTTATGTTTTTACCACCAATCCTCGAGTTCCATATCACAGATTATCTTCTTACTGCATTAATATAAATATCAACAAGACATAGTGCACAATAAAAATTAAGCTTTATTTAGGAACTTCGCGCACACTGCCCGACAGCCTGCCTGTTTTCGCTCTGCTCGCTACTCGTAAGAAACTTCTCCTCTAGGGTTGCCACACTTATCGGAGGGCGCAAGGCGCGCTCCTATCGCCATCACCACAAACTAAAACGGAACAGCGTTCTACTTCGATGCCGTACTGGTTTACATCGAATACAAGCAAAGGTATAACATCACTTTCTTAATGTGAAATATAGTTGCTGTTAATTCTAATTATTATTATTTTCACTTTTATCTAGCTTGATATTACTTTTAGAACGATAACAAAGTAAAGGGATATATAAATAAAACATTTTAATCTCAAGTGATATCATTTTTTTTTTAAAGGAAGCTTTGATAAGCTGAGGAAAGATTTGGCCGGCATGTATAAAGAAGAGATTAAAGTCATGGCAACGAAGAGCCCATCAAGTCCTCCTCAGACTGTCGAAGAATTGATGAAACTGGTCGACGATTATCCCAAGGAAATAAAAACAATTAATAACGGCAAAGGCAAGGCTCTCAAAGCTGAGCTGCATCCACTCTCTTCTTTAAAATCAGACTTCCCTAATTATCTACCGAACAGGTACGTAGGGTTTTATTAAATGGCATCCCCTTAAAAGGAATTTATGCTTAATTTAATTTTATTGAAAAAAATGAATATTTTCAGTGCCATTAACGCTCTTTTGAATGACGTGGAAACAAAATATGACGACATACGTATAGTAATGCATGAAATAATTCCGTGGAATAATAAGAGATTAGATTCTACTGAAGAAGAAGATTTGAAGGTAAGCACGGTTTGCTCGAACATCATAGAAATTTTTCTCTCATTTCAGCTGAAGATAAAATTTAATAAGCAACAAAGAAAATAAAAATGCAGGAAATAAATTCTTAGTTTGCAAAGCTCCTAAAAATTATTGTTTTCAGTGTAATACTCTCATATTTCTTTGATCGCCCCAGGCTAGTAGAAAGATTCTTTATAATTAATTTCTGAAATGTTTGAAATTCTTCGATTTATTCTGTTTTGACACTAAAGTTAGTTTATTACATGCTTAAGACACAATTTTAAAGAAATGTTAAATGGAAATGTACAATGTTTACAATGTGCAATGCATAAGACAATGTTTTCTGGAATATGACCCTCATCCATCTTCTTGGAGCAAATGTAAGCATTTTTAAGCTTTTTAGAAATTGACAAATTCTAATGGTAAGGCACTGCACGATTTAAATGTGAACTAGTTCAGCATAATGTCCTTTTAGTCATTTGATCGTGATTAATTAATCCGTTGATGATATGAGAGGATACGCGATTGTAAGTTAGATATATGATATTTTCATTTCCATTTTATTTATTAATTTGTTTTATTTTATTTTAAGGTAGAAGAACTGTATGCTGCTGTGTCGAACGCCCAAACAGCTTTTCACAAAGCCATCAGTGACTTAGACGTTTCTATCAAAGGGAAGTCCAACCAATTTGAAGAGGCCTTTAAGGCATATGGAACAGGAAAAGAAAATATTCCAAATAGGTTCCAGAGATGGTTCTGGAAACTCAGGCATGAAATTGTAAGTTTCCATCAGTTTGCTTTGTCTCTGCTATAAATAAAAAATTGGCAGCAATACAAAATTTAACTTTTTAATATTTCAAGAAATTATTATATACTTATGATAGAATTATCGTGTGATACCCGAAGGAAAATATAAATTAAAACTAATAATATAAGAAAAGTAATAATAAAGTTAATTACCTGAGAACAAGTTAATTACCTGTAACGTGGATCGGCATTTTTAAATGTCATCCTATTATACACTAGTGTGCAAAATTTAAGCAACTCTTTTGATTTTGTCCGTGATTCCACAAAAAATCAGTTGGTATACCTAAACACACGACAGAGCCCTAATATAGTGTTTAAAGCATGAGGAAAGTATATTAGGAAAAACAATAAATAGGACGCATACAGTATGGAGCGAACAAAAAAAAATCTTTCTGACAGAATAACGTTAATACAAAAACTGCCTAGCCAAGAAGGAGAAAAATAAATTAAAGAGTACGTAGTATGATCTCTCCAAATTCAAAAGTTGCAACGGTTGCGTTGCACCATCTCTCGTTATTCAGCACCAGATTATCTAATAGCTCTCGGGGTAAAGATTCCCATTCTTCTAAGAGCTGTTTTAGGTTGTCTGGCATTTTACGAAGGATAAGATCATACTGCTAGGGACTTCCTAAAGTACCAAACACATTTTCAACGGGATGTAATCATACGAGCACGCTGGTCAATCCATTTTATGGATATCTTCACTCTGAAAGAGCTCCTGAACAGCATGAGTCATGTGTGGTCGTGTACTGTCATCCCAAAAAATGAAGTCGGGACCACCTCAGAAAAGATGCAGATGGGGGAGAATAACTTCATCGCATAACGATCTCCGGTAAGTGAAACTCTATTGAAAGTGAGTAGGTCCGTCCTTCCGTTCATCATAATGCCTCCATACACGCCAAAACCATCCCCAAAGGTCTTCCCTGATGTTAGTGGAATGAAAGCCTGTCACTACTTCTCTCCATATGAACTGGCGTCGATAATCATTTGTCAGACTGAAAAGATTGTGGTAGGTAAAGAGTACGCAAGTTCATTGATGCATTATGTATTAAATTTAATCACTCTTAAAACTTTTTTCTCTCTATACTACTGAAAACTCTCTATACTCTTTGTTCTCTCTTATACTCTTTCTATACTCTTTGTTCTCTCTATACTCTCTCTATACTCTTTGTTCTCTCTATACTACTGAAAACGGTGCCACCGATAGGTTGCTATTAGTGGTATGAGCGTTCAAGACAGCGGGCTAATAGGACACCTTTATGAAATCGTCTGGCTACAGTAAACCACGACAACTGTCATCCGGTTGCCCTGCGCAGTTGCTGAGCAATGTTGTCCGCTGTTTGGTTTAGATCCCGTTTCTCCTGCAGGGCGAAAATAATGGTCATCAATCACAGTTGTTTTCTTGGTCGACCTCCATCAACTTTTCTTACCGGTGGAAACCTTTCGAAACAATTTTTTCATCAATTCCAAATTCTTGGGCCACAGATTTCAAACTGCGCCTGTCCTCAAGCTTGCCAATTATTCTATTGTGTGCAAAGGCGTCGTGATGTTTTCTTGTAACAATACTGCACGTACAATCTAACTTTCACTCGTAGAAAAATGCCTGGGAATGCGCCTTCCTTTCTTCGTTTTAAGCTGCATTCCACTGCACGCGCTAACACCAGGCATGTTAAACTCAGTATCTCATTTGAATCAAACAGTCATGAGAACGATAGTTAAACAGTATATAATAATGCGAGCCAGAAGAAAAACAGAAGTCCACTTTCATACTTAATAATGTAATGAGTGAAAAAAATAAGTATATACGTAAAATTTTACTTAATACTGCATTTAATTAGAAGAATATAAGAAGTACGGATAGTAGAACATGAACATAAGAAGTACGGACTTTAGAAAGAGCACAATAAAATGCCGATAGTAGATGGCTACCTATTATTTCTTTGCCGGCACCTAGCATTCTTTTCCTACAACCAACTTTCGAATGTCTGGAGGCATGCTGCTTGTACTAGCAGTTTTAGAACAAAGATTAGATGAATGTTAACTTGGATCTCGCTCGGAATTTTTCCTTTTTTTCACAAGCTGTTTATTCTGGCACGTACTACCTGTTAGCTTCTTGGAGTTTTCGTTTTTCAGTTTCTTTTCTTTTCTTTCTTTTTTTTTTTTTTCTTCTTTTCTTTCATTTACTATAGTGTTCGACCACTCTCTGACATACTCTTCATCGTACTCTTTTATAGCCAAAATTATCGTTTTATGACTCTTATTAACATCTCTCAATTCTTCAGCTAATATTCTTAAATCGCATTTTTTTGCCTTGATATTAAAATTCTTTACATCTTATGTACTTGTAGGAAATTAGTGTAGCTTTAGGCTTAATATTCAGTGCTATCTCTCTTTTGATTTCTGTTAGCTTCTTATGTATTAAATTTAATCACTCTTAAAACTTTTTTAAAAGAACAAAAAAACATTTATAGGAGATAAAATGTAATTGTAATTTATTAGACCTACACGTGACACTTTCTTAAACATACATATCGTAACAGGCGTTCTTACTGCATCGTACATGTCTGTATCTTTTAGAATGTAAGCATAACGACAACCAGAATAACTATTGCTGTTTCTCAGTAGATAATCTGTCCAATAACAATAAGCAATTTACAATCATACTTACGTACTAAACATGGAAATTGTGTGATTCAAACTTTCGGTTTTCTGGGAACCTTGCAGGCAAGCATTTTCAAAATTCGGGGATACATTCCTCACTGAATTTTTGTTTTCGAGTTGCATTGAATTTCTGTTAATTCCATCTGTAAATGGACTGACATTAACTCATCGTCGGGTGAGAAAATATTTTTTTGAAACTACCGTCTTAAAAGTCCCTTTAAGCCCACAAGTTTATACAAATTCCTTGACGCTCAGTGTAATCCCAATTTTATTAATATAAAATGTTTGTTATTTTCTCGGGATTAACGGTGGGTCGCAAGCAATTAATCAAGAACCGCGAGTTTGACAAGCCCTCTGACTGCAGACAAACTTGGATAAAAGAGAAAAGTTAGAAATAATACAGTCAGAAACCTGGCAGGCAGAAGTTTGTGGCATGCAGGGCACTTTTTCTGCACTGAAAATTTCTTAAATGACATGCCCGATCGAATGGGAGCATTTATCATGGTGAAATACCACCCAGTCGCCTAAAAACGTACTTTGATCTTTTTCTTTGCCACGCGATGGGAAAGGATTTATGCGTAGAGCATTTTAATATTTTTCTATATTTATATCAGTTTTTATTTGATTTCACTTCTTCGCAGCCATAACCCCGTTTCAAAGAAATCCAGAGTATTTATAATTTTTCTTTTGAAGTAAAATGGGCGGTATAAAACGACGAGCGTCAAAATAAATTTTATACCTTCGGTCTGCTTTAGAATAATTACAAAAGCGTTTAAAAAATCCTACAAAATAATATAATATTATATGTTATGACTTGTCCTCTGAAGTAATATAAGATTAATAATGTACAAAATAACATAACTTTTTAATTAATTTCCATTAAAACTGCTTGTACGAGTTTTGCATAAGAATCGCATTATTATTATTTTTTTTTTTTCTTTTTCAGACTAAAGAGCCTATTGGTGAGTAAACCTTATGTTCTTTTCTTTCATTTTCTCTCTCTTGCTTTATTATTATTATTTTTAATATTTATTTATAAATATTTTTTCACTAAACTGTGTGAGTTTCTTCTAATATATTCCCATTTTACATTTCTTATAGCTGCGTTTTTTATAAATATAAAAAAAATATTAACAATAAACAAGTAAAAATAAATTTGAATATTTGCAACATTGTGGATTTCCAACCTTTTATCTAACAGCAACCTCGTGAACAGATATGCGAAAAATCGCTTTAGTTCAGAAACAGAAACGTAAAACTCAATAAGGGTTAATTGCCCTTCATTTCTCAAAAGAAAAACTTAACAGTTGGCTCCTTTCTGAGAGCGTACAGCAAAGCCTGCATCTAGGCTTGAAATCAAAGTAATAAGAAGTAAAACTTAACTAAACTAAAATGATATAGCCTAAGCTGTCAAGATTTTTTAAGTAGTTGGCCCCTAAATATCAAATAAGCTAGCAAACTATCAAGGGCCTGAAATACGGCCGAGTGTAGTAATAGCTTAGAGACAGACGTAGCCAAAAGGCGAACGCGTCCTAGTCAGAAACTCTAGCTCTCTCTAACGAAAGTCAGTGGAACTTCGACTTAAGTGCCACTCTTACTCATTTGCATTAACCGTGATTCTAAAAACACATTCCGGTAGGAAATTGTAAGCTGAAATTAGGAAGGACGGGAAAGTATAGCTTTAACTAAAGATAACTGTTAAAAAACTTAGGATAAACCTTACAATATAATAACTAGTTTACTTAGTTAAGAAAACAGCTGGATATTTATTCTTAAATAATTTCCAAAAGCATGTATTTGATGTAATGTTTATTTGCATTCTGCAAAAAGAGTTTATTTGAATCGAATGCTTAATGACTGGAGCATCGAATGCTCAAGTCATTAAGCATTCAATCAGACAAGAAATCAAATATGCAAAACAGTTTAATTATTCAGGTACATTAAATAGTTCTTGTTTCACATTTTTGCATGCGTACATATCTTAAACACCTTTTTATAGTAAATTAAATTCTCTCTTTTTTCCCAAAGTCTGGGAAAACCCATCAGGAAGTGGTGCCATTTTAATTAATTGGGGCGTGAAAACCTGCCCAACAGCATCTTTGCCGGATGTGGAATTGCTATATACAGGACGTGCTGCAGGTACACCAAACAAAGCCTGGGCTGGAGGCAGAAACTTCGAGTGTATGCGAGATGATGAACCCAAACTCTCCAAACCAATCGGCACACCACCTAAACCTGCTTATGTGGAAACTGTTGAATACCGGACCTTTGCAGATCCAGAGAAGAGTCACCCAATTTTATGCGCTGCCTGTTTCATAAAAGAGACTATGGCAGTGAAAACATTCTATGCTCGTACATCTTGCCCTAAAAACTGGAAGAAGGAATATTCTGGTCTTATGATGGCAGATAGTGTCTCGAATGTCGACACTGAGTTCATGTGCCTGAACAAGGAGGCTTTCGCTTATGATGACCCTGAAACCAGTGGTGGAAACCACGTAGCAAAATTGAACCCAGTATGGATGTCTTGCCATAACTGCGACGGGGAGAAGATTGCTCCGTGTGTTGTATGCAGTTATGAAAACAAATCCGAATTGCTATCTCCTTCAAAAGAATAATTGATGATACACCTGGGAAAGAAGAAATATTTTTGAATTAAAAGCAAGATGTAAATTGAAAATCTCTGCATTAAAAGGATTATGACAAAATTATGTATTTAGTGTTTGAAATTATTTATAAATAAAATCTCAAGTGATAAATCAAAACTATTTAACATAAAGTGAAATTCTTTATTTTATAAAACAGACTGAGTTTTCTATATCCTGAAATCTGAAATTAAATTTTGTTTTGTTTTATTTTATATTGAAACCACACGCATTAAAAATTTTTGATCTAAATTCACTCTTTTTTAATATAAAATAATGAGAATTTTTTAGTCTTACAGTAATCTTCCAATTTATGCCAATTCTAAATTATTGCTTATCTCTAAACACATTTACCTTGCTTTAGCGGTACACCAAACTGTCGTCAAAACTTTTAGAATTTATTACCCGAGACCACACGGTTGTTAGCCTCCTTTAGATGAAAATTTGTCTATTCGTTCTTTTTTTTTTTTTTTTTTCCTAAAAGCGAGTCGGAAACAACGCTGGAAACTGATTGAGTCATTCATGTAATAGATGAAGTTATTAATCTTAACATACAATTAAATATAGAAGTTGATAGTGTCAACGGCAAAGAGCTGTTGAAACCCCCTCTCTCTTACGGTAAAATCGATGAACTTCTATAGGTGTGTGACTAAGTTACTGTTGAAGAAGCCGAGACCTCAAAACCAGATTCGTCAAAAAAATCACAGTTGCAAATTGACAGAAGGTGAGGCTGGCGGAAACAGGCTTGCAATGACTGCATAGCAGGCAGTGCCCAGCAAAAAGAAGGCATCGTTTGTCAGTTCTGAATAATATGAATTTTTATTAGATTATAAATCTAATTTGTTTGGAAAACATAAACACAAAACATATTATTATGTAAAACACATTCAATATAAATGCTTTCAATGATGAAATTGAGCTTTATTGAGCACAAAATGTAGTTAAAAATTAAATCTAAAATATTCTGCGATTTTATTCTACACTCTGCTCTGTGCTTTGTGTATAATCGGACTTTACGCTCTCGGATTGACTGCAATTTATTGATTACAGTGGGTGATCGGTTAACGAACACTTCGGACAGCGAACAAATCGGACAACGAACACTTTCAGGAAAGATTTTGTGTTCGGATAACGAATAAAAACTAATTCTAACGAAAACCTCACAGCTCTGGGAACACCCGACACCAGTCGTCAATTCGTCCTGAACATGGATGTGCGCGTGCGCTGACACGTCATCATTCATACTATGTAAGCCTGGTGAAAGCTGCGTCCATCCCTCGTTCAAGGAGACGGATTTGATCAGGGTGACACCCCTGAAATTATAGATGAAATTGTAACACCTGCGAGACATCTGGAATTGGAGGTGAACGAGGATGACATTGAAGAGCTCATAATGGAACATGAAGACGAGTTGACAGCAGAGGAACTCCAAGAAATCTTGAATGAAGAACACCAAACTCGGCGAAATATGTTTCCTTCTGAAAAAGAGGAAGACGAAAGAGGAGCAATGCCGACATTTGCCATTAAAGATCTTTTGAAGAAGTGGGAGGATGTCAGAGCAACGGTCTTGAAATCGCACGCAAACCAAGCTGATGTCAATGAGGTTGCTGATCTCTACAACGACATTGCTGCCAATCATTTCCTGAAAGTCCTGAAGGAGAGAGAAAAACAATCGACATTGGACGCGTTCTTTAACGCCCAAAGAAAGGAAAAGGACTGATTAATAAGTAAGACTATACGTATGTATTATATTTGTAATAAACTTACTAAGAAATTATACTTGTACATGAAATTATTTAAAAATTTAATTTTTAGGATCACCAGAACGAATTAATCGAAATTCCATTAGCATATATGGTAAATCGATGATCGGTTAACGAACAATTCGGATAGCGAACATAATCTTGGAACGGATTATGTTCGTTAACCGATCACCCACTGTAATTGAAAAGTCATAATATCCCGCATCGCTCCATCGCATCCGAATAAAGGGTTCAAATTACAGCTGAAAAGTTAACAATTAAATATTTTTTAATTTTTCAGCTGTAATTGTAACCATAATGCTTCAGTGATCACTGGTATAATTCTAATAATTTACATTAAATGTAGTGTTCATTATTCTCTTTCGAAACATAAAGCCTAAAATATACAAATATTCAACATATTAATGAAGTAAAAACTTCATTGACGTTGATTACTTGAAACGTTTGTTATTTGACGCTATCTTGGAAAACGGTAAGAAAAAGTTTTTAAATTACAGTCATCGTTCTTTCTAAACAAGGACAAAGTTTTCGACTGGTTAAAAAAAAGCCTTGTAGCTAATTGAAAAGAATTTTACTGGGTATCTCAAAACAAATTTTCTGATAAAAACTGACAGCATTTTTAATATTTTCTGATTCACAAAATAATATTGTATCGTAAAATGTAATTGTTTTTTATATTTGAAGTGCATAGATACATTGCCGCTAGATAGAGACAATACAATCGAACTGGGACACTATCCCACTCTAATTTAAAACTTACACGTCTCTATCGCAGGCAAAGTTTTGTAACAAAATACGTATGTTTTCATATACAGATTAGATTGTTTTAGATATGACAGAGTCGTCTGTTGCTAAGTTATAGGAGGAATGAAAATACAAACTGAAATATATTAAAAATAAATCAATGTTAAAATATACTAAAAAATCTTAAGTTTCTGAAATAAAGGTAAAAATCAAATGGGATTCAAAAGAATGAAAAAATGAATGAAATCATAGTTTCACTTCTATTGCATAATCAAAGTACTTTTTCCCCCAAATCTCTGACAATAAATAAACCCTAAATATATCTTCCATTTTCGATATCATTAATGCAAATCTTTAACATACTTTTTGTAAAAAAATATTCCTCTTCTGTACCTTAACAACTAATTTCGCCATGATTTTATCACCATATTTTATTGTGATTTTTTGCAAAGATATCAGCAGATAATTACTCTGTGTTAAATATTTTAATTTATGATTTTTTGGTATGATCTGATACTCATTTATTACGTAATACTTTTATGAAGGGTGGTTTTTTTTTTTTTTTTTTTTTTTTTTTTTTTTTAAATCGGCATCGGCTTCCTTCTGAGAGTTATTCTGAGAGTACACATTAGTAATTTAATGGTATCCAGAAGTTGTCTGTAGCTTAATGGTAACTGAGTAAGTCTGAGATGTAAGGGGGAGTTGCGTCATTATAAATCTCTGTAGATTTTATTCTAATTTAATTTTGTAGAAATATACAGCACTTTAATTTACTACATAAGGACGAAGCAGATTAAGGAACTTCTGATGTCCTCCATAAGCTGTCTTGAACCTCTGTTTCAGAGTATAAGTTAACTGAGCGCCCATTAGATAGCTGATTATTCTGTGGTCGCTCAGAGAGGGAATGTCCATAACATGCCATTCCGACATTTGATTTGCTAATTGGGAAGAAACCATGGTTAAATCCGGCCAACCTTCCGCCCTTATAGGGCGGAAGGTGGGCGGTGAATCTGACGTGTTTATGATGCTTAATTTTTTTTCCATTGCATATTCGAAAACCTTTTTGCCTCTTACGTTTTCCACTCGCGCCCCCCATAAGAGACTGGGAGCACTGAAGTCACCTGCTAATAAGATTTGGTTGTTCCCTTTTCTGACGACAGTGCTGATTTCTATTAGTAGAGGATGTCACTTGGTGGAAAGTACTTTCTCACTTGGTGGAAAGTACACATTAGTAATTTGATGGTATCCAGTAGTTGTCTGTAGCTTAATGGTAACTGAGTGTTGCGTCTGAGATGTAAGGGGGGGAGTTAGCGGATCATTATAAATTATGACAGCCTGTTGAGAGGTTGACTGGAACGTCTTGCTTGTGGGTGGAGTTCCTGGCAGATATGTCTATGTGCTAAGTACGGCTCTTGTATGAGGGCGATATCCGGCATTTTCCTTTGTCATAATATCCATGAAGTTAAGTGTTGCAGATCTAGCTCTCTGCAGGTTTGCTTGGAGAAACCTGAGTCCTGTGACTTGTTGGCGGAATTTGGTTACTGCCTACATCCGTTGTTGCTGTGTTTTGCTGCCTCGTTGCAGTTCCTGTCGGTACACAGGACATTTTGAAGAACTTGCCGGATGACTTGCGTCAAAGTCTGTGCTATTATGCGTATTGGAGTGAACACAATTCGCACAATTTTCCTCTTCTGCCGTACACTCTTGTGTTAAATGACCTTTTCCGCACTTAGTACAGGCTGGTGGGAATCTGCAGTTTTTACTTAGGTGGCCAAAGGTTTGGCAGTTGTAGCAGCGGGTTATTTTTTACGTATTCTCTAAACGGACACGAAGTAAATCCAATATAAACCCGCTTGTGTGGTCGAGAAGCCTGTCTTTGAAATCTGCTGTCACTTCCAGTATCCAATTACAGGTAGTTTCGTCCCTAGGTCTCGGGCCTTTTGGAAAGATAACTGGCGACGACCGCGTTTCTGGCAAAAGATCTTCAAATGCTGCTTTTATTTCGTCTGCCGTTATGTCACCAGGGTACCCCAAATACTATAAGAGAGCTCCTAAACGGACGGGGAATCCTTAGTTCTAAGTGCTCTGTCAGCACGCTAGACTCTTCAGTTGCCTTTTTAAGTTTGTGCAAGTGTGTGGCCTCTTTGCACCTAATCAAGAGTTCTTTAGATCTCGTGGGCCTCACTTGAGGTTTGATGTTGTTTAAAACTTGCGCTTTTACACTATCTGGCTTGCGCTCTGAATCATTCCCCTTGATAAGTAAAACGTGCTCAGAGGGCTGTTGCTTGTGTGGAAGGGGGTTTCTTTTTCTGAATCTTACCGGCTACTGTTGCGTAACTCCGGTGGTCTTGTTGTCCTGTAGTAGGATGGTTTTCCTGTAGCTCCGGGACCTTAAAACTGTGCTCTCTTGCTTGAGAGAAGAGACTGGCATTAAGTTGTCGTTCTAGTTGAAGTATTTGTCCCTCCTGTCGTGCAATTAAGATTTCCTGATTAGAAGCTATAGCCAGTATTTTCTGTGATATAATTGGACACCGCTTCGTGGTCTGCGATTTTCAGTTTAGAAGGGCCTCTGTACTCTGCTAAGAGTGACTTGATGTGCAGGGTTAAAGTGTTAAT